GAATAATGAGGGTAACAAATGTACAAATGTGCTTTATACAATTGATGTATGTATGGATTGTGATGAGTTGTATGAGCCCCCAATAAAATAACTTAAAAAAAATTTATAGTCTTGGAATCTCTAAGGAGTTCTATAACTCAAGCAAGTTTTTACAAAGTTTCTTTGTGCTTAGATTATTAGAAGAGTTAATTAATATTTTTGCTTTCTCTGAAGCCCAGCTGCTACCTTGACATGGGAGATGAAAGGCTTTCTTTGTATTCTCCCAAAGAAAAAAAGAATCCCAGGACTATCCTAGATGAGAAGTTAAATCACATTATTGGAGTGGTGCTTGAAGGAAAGAAAGTGAGGAAAGGAAGATAGTGTAAGGAGGCCTGGTGGAGAAGTGGTTGTATGCTCGGCTGCTAACCGAGTCAGCAAAAAAATCTGGCCATCTGCTTTGCTAAAGATGACAGCCTTGGACACCCTATGAGATAGTTCTAGTCTGTCTTACAGGGTCACTATATGTCAGAATTGATTTGACAGCACTGTTTGTTTTTTTTTAAGTCAATGTATTATTTCAGTCTGACACAGGAATAGTATAGTTTTGTGAGCTTATAAAATCTGACATACTATATATCTAAGCAAATCTGTTAAAAAGGAACAGAAGCCTTAGGTCCTCATAAGGAGAGATGACATTTTTAAATTATTAAATACTGGTTGCAGTGCAGGTGAAAAGAAGACATGCAGGACAGAGTAGGCAGAATGTCATCAAATTCTAGTTTTCTCACTCTGAAATGTTTTTGCAGAAATCAGTATTGTTAATCTACAACCTCAACTTCTCTAAAAAAGGCATTTCCAAGGGACGGTGCTAGGATTTGGTTATTTTGACATGGCTTTAAAAGAGCAGCTATTGGTGATGGGATGTACAAGGAACCAAATGCTTTGGAAAACAGTCTGACGGTCCTTCAAATTATTAAACCATAAACTCACTGCCTTCAAGTCAATTCTGACTCACAGTGACCCTACAGGACAGAGTAGAGCTGCCCCTGTGAGTTTCCAAGGCTATAAATATTTTTTTTTCTTTTTTTTTTCTTTTTTTTTTTAATCAATTTATTGGGGCTCATACAATTCGTCACAATACATAGATCAATTGTGTAAAGCACATCTATACATTTGTTGCCCTCATCATTCCCAAAATTTTCTTGCCTCTTGGGTTCCCGGAATCCAAGGCTATAAATATTTATAGAAACTGAAAGCTTCATCTTTTCTCTCTTGGAGTGGCTGGTGGTTCTGAACTGCTGGTTTTGTGGCTGGCAGCTCAAATTATAACCCACTATACCACAAGGGTTCGTTGATTAAGTCAGAGGTTCACCATTTTGGCTTTTATGTATATACCCCCATCAAAAAGAATAAAAACATATATCCACACAGAAATTCTGTCCACACATGTTCATATACAGTATATCATTACTCACAATAGCTGGATTACTGAGTTCTGGTCATATTGTGTCATGGAATATTACTTAGTCCTAAAAAAGCATGAAGTACTGATTCATACGACGATACGAATGAACTTTGAAAACTTTATGCTACACGAAAGTCAGACACAAAAGACCACACACTAATGAGATTCTATTCATATGAAACCTAGAGAGGTACAAAGTAGGGGGAAGGTAGTATGAGGTGTTTGGGGAATAGGGGTTTGTTTTAGAAGAAAATGTTTAAAAATTGCACATTATCTGTAACTATGTCAAAAACCATTACTCTGCACCTTTAAATGAGTTAAGGAAAAAAAGTATGGAAATTTGAGAACTCTTGGTTCTTCAGGTACTTGCGTTCTCTCCTTAGTTTTGAAAGCCTTCGCCTTACCCTCGAAAGAGAATGGAGGTGATTACGGTGCGTGAGAGGGAGGCCCCGCTCAGTCTAACAAAAGCCTTCAGACCAACTGGCCTTTAAAAGTTTCCTATGGCCCTTCACGCCCTCCTCACAAAGCCAAACCTCCGCCACAGGGTTCTCTCAGCCGACGCCTTGTTGAGCGACCCAACCCACAAAAGCGCTGGGGACAGCGCCCCACGCCACGCCCAGCCCCGCCCAGCACTACGCGGGGCGGAAGAGAATCTTCCCGCCGTCCCCCCCAACCCCCCCGGCAGCGCCGGAGGCCCCGCCCCACTTCCTGCACCCTATTGGCTCAGGTGACCGGCCCCCTGAAGCTCGGATTCGGATTGGCTAACTCGACCGCCGCTCGGCGCGCTTCCCGGGGGCACCCGATGAGCGTGGCCACGCCCCTTACGTACAGACGCTCGGTCGCCGCGGGAGGTGCCTTAGTCGCTATCCAGAAGGAAAGAGGTCGGTGCCGCGAGGAGCTGCTATGGTGCTGAGTTCCCGGGCAGAGGCGACCGAGACGAGGCGGTCGCGGCCATGAAGGTGAGGGGCTGGTGGATCTGGGAAGACCCTCCTCGCCTCTCTTGGCCGGCCCGGGTCTTCCTTCAGCCCCAGTGGCTACCCTGCGGGCCCGGTACCTCAGAGAGGTCCGCGTCGGGGCTCCCCTGGCCGGCTTCTGGGGGCCTGACTGCCCAAGGTGGAGATTCTGGGCTCTCTGACCCTGCCAAGTCCCCTCGGCATCTCCAGTCAGCGGTCCCGGACGGGCAGGGCGAGGGGGGCCGGGCCGCTTCCCGAAGGGCCTGTGGCATAGCCCCTGAAGCTCGCCTGTCTCCGTGCCTTTGCCTCGAGCGAGCCCGCTAGTTTGAGTCCTTGAACGAACTCAAATGTCGGGAACACGGCGGGACTGTCGCAGGATGCGGGACGGAGGGCAGAGGATTGTTACGGGGAGTCGAAAGGCGTGGGGGTGGGTGGGGGCAGGGTAACCTGTTAAGAGATGCCTCGGGGCGAGGGTCCCTCTCTGAAGGCTTTCTCCCTCGACTTTACGCGGTGACCGTGACCTAGAGCGTTAGGAAGCCGCCTGAAGGCGTCGCCAGCGCCACTAGGTGCGCAGCAAGTAATTTGGCAGCCTGAGTTCTCCTAGGTGGGTGTAAGCGTGGGCGCACCGCTGAGTGCGAAGTTTAACAAAAGGGGGGTCGGGGTGGGGGGTGAGCTGCTTTGGCTTGGTTGCTGAGAGTTCCGAAGTTCCCAGCGTAAACCAATCGAGGTTATCGATTTGCTGGCTGAACTCAACCCAAGTAGGGTGAGTCATCAGGTGATGATTCTCTGACACAGCCGACTTCCATCATCTCAGTGAAGAGGCATGCTGGATATGACTGAGGAGTACAGTCAAGTCAACTGCTGGATGGAAACAGAGGGTCAAGGTCGACAGAAGATTGATAGCCAGTGCCAAGTGGCTAGAGAGATTTGTTACCCTTCTAAAACGGACCCTATCCTGTAAATAGTTGGTTGAACATTTACCCTGTGCCAGCCTAGAGGATTGATGAGTGGAGGTTAATTCCAAATAGGATCCTCACCATTTAGGCGTTTGTCATTCAGGACATGAGACCTTATCTTACAAGACAGACTGATGAGTAGGTATCAATAAGAGGCAAAGTCCTCAGGGGGAAAGAAAGGCTCCTAAGGTCTGCAAGAAACAAGGGTGACTTGGGGGAGAGAACTTTTGAATTGTGCCTTGAAGTGTGAAAATAAAAGACTTAGTTTCATTACAAAATATATTATTTCCACTTTGAATACCTACTAAAAGATTTAAAACTAGCTTTATTTGCTCTTTCTGTGTAAGGTTTCCTCCACCACCAAAAAAAAAAAAAGGAATCTTGAGTCTGTATAGAAAGCCCCAAAGAGAGTCACTATCTTTGTTAGTTTTACTTTCGGGTAGGAGAGAATTAGACATGGTTCCATTTTTAATCACGATCTTAAAAAACAAATGTGTTTAAAGGAAAGTGAAAGACACTGCTTTCCAAGTTTCAATTTTAGAAGCAAGGTTCTGTGGCAGTTGGAACTGTGTAACAGATGTGTATTTTCTGAAGCCAAAGGCAAGCCTGAATCAATATCCATTTGTACAAAATGAAAGGAAGATGCTGTTTTTCTTTCATATTTTTGTGATCCTGGCTGTTAAAAATATCATTTAACTTAAGGTTGGTTGATATTGAAATTGTTTTGATGGGTGGGTGTGCTCTTTGGTAGATCCCCAATGTCACAGGAATATTAACAAGTGAACATTCATGTGAGCCTGGCACCTTTCCATGGAATTACAGTGACTTTAAAAGCTAAGCAATTAGATAAGCACAGCTTCATTCAAATCCAGGAGTACCTGATTTTTAGCTATCAGTGGTTCAAATCTACTAGCTGCTCTGAGGGAGAAAGATATGAGTGTCTGCTCCTGTAAAGATTTACACAGCCTTGGAAACCTTAAATAGGAATTGGGCTGTATGGCAGTGGATGTTCTGGAGTTAAGGGAGGAAAAAGTATTTACTTCCTGTCTTTAATTGTTTGACTAGAAACAGGTATTTTGAAGTAGGTTTTACATCTCAAAGACTCAGGAAGTAACCCTGTCTACTTAACATCTAAGATCTAAGAGTAACACTTAATTAACTTTTCATAAAGAATTAAAAAAAAAATCAAAATCCTATGTTCATGTTTTGATTTCCCTCCTGCTTTTCCATATTTACATTGATCTGGCTTAATTGTGCTTAATCACATTAATTCCTGCGAGCTCAAAATGAAATATCAATGAGAAAGTAACCTACTGAACACAATTTCCTTTTTTTGGGCCCTTGAAAGATGGAAGAATTAAGTGTATTGCTTTGTTTCTATATTGAAACAAAAACCTAAACAGAAAAGCAGCATTTATGTTCTACAGAACATTTAATTTTGAAAATCTATCAATCAGTTTGGCCAAATGTCTTATCTAAAAATAGTACATTTTTAAGACCCACATCTGTTTTTGCAAGCTGCTTAATATTCACAATTTAAGATGTAGAGTTTGTGCCTTCTCTAGTATGGTGGCATATTTGTTTATTAAGGAAGAATAATGTTCCCTGGTGTTAGACAAAGGGTTTGGCCCTCCTGTGACTCTTGGTTTCTGGAAATAACCTAAGCAATCAAGATGCCTTTGTTTTCCAAAATAGCCAAACAGTTAGGGGCCACCGTGCTTTCCCCAGATTGGGGACCTAACTTGAGAGAAGAAGGTGGCATTGTGTAGTCAGTCATGCATATTCATTGATTGGATCGCTCATGCATTAAGACCCAATAAGCACTCTTTGGAGTCTGCTGGGTCAGGGGAGGGAGTGGCATGTCCAAGGGACAACACAGGTTCATGATTTTGCCTGATACAACTGTTCACTTACACCCTTTCTGATGATAATAAATGGCTAACTATGGTTAATAAAAGGAGCCATAATGGTGTGATGGGTTACCAGTTGGGCTGCTAACCACAATGTCAACATTTCAAGCTCACCAGCTACTCCTGGGGAGAAAGATGAAGATTTTTGTTCCTATAAAGATTTGTAGTGTTGGAAACCCACAGGGACAGTTCTACTCTGCCCTATAGAGTTGCTGTGACTCAGAATTGATGGCAGTGAGTGTATGATACAGGTAATAAAACCAACCTCGTTGTCAAGTTAATTCTGATTCAGTGACCTTATAGGCAGAGAACTGCCCTTCGGGGTTTTTCAGGCAGAAAGCAGACTACCACATCTTTCTCCCACAGAGTGGTTGGGAAGTTTGAATAGCTGACTTTAGTTGAAAGCAGAGAGCTTAACTACTGAGCCAAGGTCTCTCCTTGGCTCCTTAGGAGGTGGCATTATTCCTGTTGATTACCTAGTTTAATCAAAAGCAATGGACTCATTTGTTTTCTGCTGTATTCAGATGCATCCGTTTCTGCTGCCTTTCTCACCTGTCAGTTCAGCTCTACAGAAACCACTATAGCTTTTCTTAAGTATCACTCAAGTTAGTTAATACCAAAAAGAAAGTTAGTTAGTACAGTTAGACTTGATCAAAGGCATCATACTTTGGTATCATTTAGGAGGCAAACTTTGTAGTAACCTGTTTTTATATACTACTTTGTAGTACATTTTAAATTTAGCACTGGGAAGTATACACACACACACACACACACACACACACACACCTCACCCCACCCCCCATAACCCTTTGAGAGCTCTAGCCCTCCACCAGAAAGAGGGCTGGGCTGCAGCTCTTTGGGAAAAACCAGACACTTCCTCTTGGCTCTTGTTAGAGAAGGAAGTGATGAAGTAGAAGGGCTTTGGTTTTCTGATTAGCAGCCTGAATGTGGTGCGTATGAAATCAGGAGTCTGTTGTTCTAGTGGAAATCTCCATAGTGGGGACTGCCAGGCCATTCACAGCCCCACAGGAGCTTTGGACAGAACTCTGCTCTCTTCCAGAGGGAAGGCATGTCCAAGCCTTTCCCCAAAAGGAAGAGTATGGATGTCCTTTAGCCTGGCAGCTCCCCGAAGTAGAGAAGAGATTATGTGTTGTTGAGTTTCAGGGAAGGAGCTAAGCTTTTGACTTGATGCTTTCTTTGATCTTGTCAGATTCTGTCTGGTCTCACACAGCGAGGGTCTCACACGACTAGGTGGCATACTCTCAAGATTAGACAGCTGCAGAGCTAAGTGTTTTGCTGTTATTAGTTAAGAAAGAAAAAGCAACCTCTTTTAATTTGCATTGTAGAAACCCTGGTGGTGTAATGGTTACATGCAAAGTCAGCAGTTCTAAACCACTAGTCACACACTTCACGGGAGAAAGATGGGACTTTCTACTCCGGTAAAGAGCCTCAAAAACCCAAAGGGTTAAAAAAAAAAGAGGTAATTTGGCAAAAAATTAAATTAAAAAAACAACCAAAAAAAAACCTCACAGGAGCGGTTCTATCCAATCCTATAAAGTTGCTATGAGTCAGCATTGACTGGATTGGCAGTGAATAAGAGTGAGTTAATTTCCATTTGTCTGTGTTCATTAGTGAGGCAAGAACTGGATAGGGTAGCAGAATAGCTCCAGGGGTATCTGGGTCAGTCCAGATGGGGCGGCAAATTCAATTTCTTACCATGGGCCATGCAAGTTTTCATCATGATGGCTGCTTTTTATATCTACCAAGCCAACTTTAGTAGGTGAAGATTGGATCATGGCTGATCTCTTCGGGAGCAGCTTTGACTTGGGAGGTGAGTCAGAAAGGGATTCGGTTATCAGAGAAAGTCTTATATTTGGTAGATACTGAAGGTAGCTGTTGTCCCTGAGTAGAAAAGCTGTCGTCTCTGTGTTTGCTATCCCGTATAGTTAAGATTGTGGGCAAGAAAGGAACTGGAGCTGTCTTTATGCTTATGTTTATGTCTTTATCTGTGTGGTTCTTTCTAACCACATGGATTTATATTGACCCTGTGGAGTTACACTCTCAACGATGGCCCCAAGTAGGCTCTGGATTGTTCATTACGATCCATGCCATAGGGTTGTAGTTCAGAGATAGAGGCTGATTTCACTCACAGAAATGTGGTAATTTTTAAGTAAACAAGGTAAATGGGGACCCTTATATAAGTCATAATATGCCTTTTGGGGGTGAAAGTAAAACAATAACTCAGTGAATTGACTGTAAATTCTAAGGCAAGAGGGTTGTAGTTGGTATGTTAGGAATTAGATTTGCTCAGAAAATCTCCCAAGTGGTCAGGAACTGGAGGGGATACCTAGGAAGTGGGGAGTGACTAAAAAGAAATCTAAAGGCCTGTGAGAGAAAGATGAGGCTTTCTACTCCCATAAATAGAAACCTACTGGGGCAGTTCTACTCTCTCCTATAGGATCATTGTGAGTGGAAATCAACTTGGATGGCAGTAAGAAAGAGAGAGTGACTACTGGAACTTAAGGAAGTTCCTAGGAGATAGAGAAGACAATGATGAGAAGGAAAAGACTACGAACTTGAGTGTCAGACTTTGAAAGGGAGGGTGCCCAAAGAGAAGCATTTGGCTTTTATCCAGTCAGAGATGAAGGGTTCAGAGAAAGTCTAAAGCCCTGAGAATAAATTGGTTGGTCTCCCTACCCAGAGAGCCCAGATCCAACAGACTGGTGCAAAACTCTCTCTTAAATAGTTGCCTAAATGCATTTATTGACTCCATTGTATGAAAACTGGGACCATTATATCAAATAGTTAGAAAATTCAAAAAAATTTTCCCATGCCCTCTTTGCCTTTTGGTAAATGCTGACCATTTGATCTCACATAGCTCACTGTGGAAGGAACAGCTTGCTTGGAGTTGAACCTGTTCCATAGCAGCAGATCACCAGGTCTTCCTGGGAGCCACTGGTGGACTCAAACTACGGAGCTCTTTGCTCACACCAAATGCTTAGCCACTGTGTCACCACGGCTCCTCACAGATCTAGCAAGGCTGAAGCCTAGATTTTTCACACACACACACCCTTTTCTTTGAGCGGATAACAATAATATGAATCTAAGTTGTACCTGATACTGGGTTATAGCAATATATTATTGCTTTGAACAAATACTTTGGAAGGTAGCTTGTGTTTTTGTTTTTCTTGGGATTTATTTTCTTTTTTCAGTAAGAACGATGACCAATATACTTGCAATTTTGGGATAAAACCTACCTGGTCTGTTACTATTTGAAGCCACTATTGAATTTGATCTATTTACATTTGCATCTGGGTTGGATCAGATGGACCTGTGGCTTTTTGTGCCATTCAAATCTGTTTTTAATGTCAAGTTGATGCTAGCTTTTAGGACTATTTTTCTTAGGCAAAATTTTCCCCAGAACAATTGCTACATCTAGGAGGCTACATGTTTTGTTTTTCACTAATGAGAGGACAGAAAAGATAGGAATGTTCTTTTTAGTATTTTCTTTTCTAGAGGAAGCCACCCGTACCCCCCTATAGAAATATGAGCCTGGTGGTACAGTAGTTTATGTGCTTAGCTAACAGTCAAAAAGTGGGAGTTCCATGCAAGACCATACAGCGTTTGATTCCTGAAAATTATAGCCTGGGAGACCCACAGGTGCAGTGCATTTGGTTTTGAGCTTTTAAAGTAACATGCAGAATCTGAAGTATGTTAGACTGCCACTAAAGAGAGCCTGTAAAGAAACCTTTTGCATTGTTAATCACGAGTCAGTGATAATGGTGGCCAAGCTAGATGCTGTGAGAAGAAAAGAGGAACTCCACTCTACATCTGGAGCCAAACACCGTGACCAAATGAGGATCCAGCCAGCCGAGTTACTTCATGGCTAGTTGGAACTGGAGCTGCTGGAACCTCAGTTCCTTGATGAAGGAAAGTGATCCTGATGGCACTTTCTGCAGGGGAACTTACTATTATTTTTTTTAAGCAGAATATTTTTTATTGTTTAAGAGAACGCACTGTGTAAACGAATTCAAAAAACAAAAAACCCACACTCACTGCCATTGAGTCAATGCTGACTCATAGTGACCCACTTTGGTTTTCCTAGACTGTAACTGTCTTTCCCATGGAGCTGCCGGTGGTTTTGAACTGCTAGCCATGAGGATGGTAGCCGAACACATAACCACTACACCACCAGGGCTATGTAAAAGAACAGTTGCCTCAAATTCGTTGTTAGTAAAGGCTCCTTCCCCTTCAGCATATTGCTGTTTTGATATTGCTTTTCACATAAAAGCATCACTGTTTCATTAAAATTACAGGGTGTGCTGCCATGTTATGTTTATATCAGTGACCCTGAGACTGAGGACTAGTTGAACCTTGTACTGTGATTTCTTTTTTTTTTTTTTTTTCCGTACTGTGATTTCTTACTGCTTCACCTTCTCCTTCCCCTAATCTAAACTATTCAAGGGAGGAACTAGAATAGTATCCTGAATCTAGAGCCTTCTCAATAGCCTGTTTTGTTTTTAATTTATATGGGGTTGGGGGTGGTGGGGGTGTTACATTTCAGTTCATCATTTTTATATTCAACAACTTAATAACGTATCAAACCTCTCAATATCTTGCCCTGTACACCAGCCCGTTTTCTCCATCTTTCCCATTGTTCTGACACACCTCTTAACCCAACAACTGCCAGTGAGTTGATTCCTGCTTATAGCAGCCCTTATGAAAGAAGATAGTAGAAATGCTCCTATAAGTTTCCAAGACGATAAATTTTTCCAGTGACAGACAGCCTCATATTCATCCTGGCAGTGCGGCTGATGGGTTCAAATCACTAACCTTGTGGTTATCAGCCCAATGCTTAGCCCACTGTACCACTTGGGTGTCTCCAATGTTTGGACAGAGTCGGCTATCATTTTCACAGATAGCATCTCATCTATATACAGTCTTCCACCATTAGCTACCACATGGCCAAGAGAGATTAGGTGTAGGAATTAGTGCCCCGGGCAAAAACTTCTTGGTTCCAAATCCTATGGCTTTTATTCTTTAAGCATGCCTTGGTCCCCACCGAAATATGTCGTCTCTGATCCATACTTCTCACCAGCTTGGTTAGTGGGTTTGAGTCTGCAGTAAAGAGACAAGCTGCCTCAGATAAGTGCTTAACAGTGGCTTGGGTCACAGAAGACAACCCATTAGTCTGGGTGGGGAATGGAGGCGGGGTGGCAAATAGCCTTCCACACCTGGGGAGGCCATCTTGTTAATGCATCATCCAAAGTCCTGTTCAGTATTTCCATTTTCTTTAATGCCAAATTAATGTGTTCTTTGTAAGGAAGTGAGAGGGAAATGCACACATAAAAGACAAAAAGATTTGAAATCTAGCACTAGTTTGTTGGCATTTTGATGCTTACCTAGCCACAATTCTTATATATAGATGCCATAATTTATTAAACCCAGCTACAATGCAGTAATAAAGAGGTTTCATGGAGTTACGTGATTGTAATTTTGAGGCTTTCTGCTAAATGGTGGCAGGGAGGTCTAGCCCAGCTCACCAGTTAACTGGGTGATAGCCAGAGGATACATGGTTAACTTTGAATTTCAGAGAAAACAAGCAAGTCTTTAGGAAAAGCATGTCTCAAATATTGCCTGGGCAAGCCTTGGGTTCATTTGTGTTTTTCCATGTTCTTTTCTCTGTCTTGGCATTGTATTTTACCCTGTTTACCAAATTGGGGTCCTGCTGTAGTTGAGGCACATGCATGTATCAGAGTGGCAGTATCAGCAAGTCAAGGAGGTTCACACTGGCCCCTACTTGTATTCCTCTGCAGGCAGGTGCCACATCCATGTGGGCTTCGTGCTGCGGGCTGCTGAATGAAGTCATGGGTACCGGTGCAGTCAGGGGCCAGCAAACAGGGTTTGGGGGAGGCACTGGTCCATTCCGATTCACGCCAAACCCTGACTTCTACCCACCGGCAGCCACGGAAGGTCCTAATATCGTTTGCAAAGCTTGTGGACTCTCCTTTTCCGTCTTCAGGAAAAAGGTGAGTAAAGTGAGCAAACATTGCATTCAGAAGCCAAGGCTATTTTGAATAGCTAATGAACCACCCTTTCTTTTTATAAACAAGTGTGAACCCCTGAACTCTTTCCCATCTGGAAAAATACTCTCAGAGACTAATACTGACTGGATAGTGTTCCCTCAGGCATCCTTTCTCCCAAACTCTGGTCTTTTTCTACCATTTGATTCTCTCTGATCCTTATTTATGTTGCTGTTATTCTTGAAAACATGCACTGAAAAACCTACATCAATTCAGTAATTTGTCAATTCAGTAGTTTCTTTGTGTACAATTCAATGACATTGATTAAATTCTTTGAGATGTACAACCATCCTCACCCCCCACCCCCTGCACATAAACTCACTGATCCCTTAAGATTCCTGTATAGCCTTTTGAGTGGCTGCATCCACATGACGATGCTTATACTCTGACAAATGAGATTGGCCTAGTCAGCAGTTTAATTCAGGGATGCTGTAATGTAATTGGGGCCTCCGATTTTAAAAAATCTGCCCCTAACTACATTCTTCACTCTTAGATAAAGCAATGAGTGTAATACAGTATACTGTTTTTAGAGTTAACATAAAATACTCAGGTTAAGAGTTATTGGAGCCAACCATTGAACCAACATTGGAATTGCTAGCTGAGATTTTCCCATTCTCAACGAATGTCTTGGTCTCTTACTTGTGTGCCTTGCATGACTACCTAGCAGTGGCGCTAGGCACACCAAAAGAAAACCCAGTTATTTTCAACAGAAAGTACTTGTTTGTTGGGCCATCTTGCAGGCTTTGAGCCTCAATTCAGTTCTTCTGAAATAGCATGCGGGGACAGTGGCTGGAGCAGGTGTCCTCCCTCGGCATATCGATGAACTGGCTCTGGCTGGGAGTGAGGCCACATATGTGTTGCAGATAGCTGTGTTAGTGGCTCTTTTCTTCCTCCTTGGTAAATGGTTCACATGGGAAATGCGCTGCTGTTTGGCTTGCTGCTCAGTCAGTGTGGTTCAAGTCAGCCCTCTTCTGCTAATTACATGTTTGTAGCAATGGGCGGAAAGGTTTTAATTCATTAACACAAGTGTGTGTTTTTCTTCAAGTGCCGTATTTGAATTCTCTGAACCCAAACTGTTTCTGTGGCAGCAACTATTTTACCATTCTTGACTTTTGGACCCTGAAAGCGCCTGTGGAGATAGTCTAGGGCCATGGCGAGTGGGCTGGGGGCACAGTGTCTTCAGAAGATGGAAGATGATATTTTCATAGAAGAAAACTAGTGCTCTCATAAACGCTTCTGTGTCTCCAGCATGTATGTTGTGACTGCAAAAGGGATTTCTGCTCCGTGTGTTCAGTCTCACAAGAAAACCTCCGCCGGTGTTCCACTTGTCACTTACTCCAAGAGACGGCTTTTCAGCGCCCGCAGTTGATGCGACTGAAGGTGAAAGACCTGCGGCAGTATCTCCTCCTCAGAAACATCCCGATCGATACTTGTCGTGAGAAGGAAGATTTGGTAGACCTGGTCCTGTGCCATCACGGACTTGGTTCAGAGGAGAACATGGACACAAGCAGTCTGAGTTCTTCAAGGTCCCAGACCTCCAGCATCTTTGCACATTCATTTTTTTCAAACTACACAGCCCCCTCTGCTACCATATCTTCATTTCCAGGAGAGTTTATGGACCGAGACCGGACCTCAGGACCTGACACACTGGCACAGGTATGAGGGTGAGTTTGTGCTGTGGGCCCAGTGTACAACTCTGCCACACATGGTGCCATGATTGAAGCATGAGTGCTTCTCCCCTGTTCCCATGTTGCTGGCTGTGTACTTGCAGGCTCCAAAAATGGCTAACCAAAATCCTTGGGCATTAGTGGCATTAGTTACTTTCATTCCCAGTCTTACATAAGTAGGATAGCATTTGCCGCCCCCCCCCAGCTCCTGTTTATTGGGCTCTTAATATAACACTTTGGTTAAGACAAACTACTGAAAAAATTAAGTAAAAAGTAGAGTGTAATCATGGGTAAGAAGTTTGTACAGGTAGCAGTCACCATGGAAACAATCAGTAGTGCAAGTTGCCTTACTACAGCAGAATTGTCCTAATTTAGTTTATGGGAACAAATCATCAGGATTCGTGGAAATGCAGATAACTTACTCATTCCTGAGAAATGCTAGTGCAGAGTATGGATGGTCCCAGTGAGGCCTTGGGCATTCCTGCTGAAAGGTACGCAAGGACTTGCAATTATATTGGTTTGTATAGGGCAGTGGTTCTTAACCTTCCTAATGCCGCAACCCTTTAATAAAGTTTCTCATGGTATAGTGACCGCCAACCATAAAATTATTTTCATTGCTACTTCATCATAACTGTAATTTTGCTAGTTATGAATCGTGTTGCAAATATCTAATATGCAGGATGTATTTTCATTGTTACAAATGTAACATAATTAAAGCCCAGTGATTATAATTACATATTAGTTTGTGTTTTCCGATGGTGTCAGGCAACCCCTGTGAAAGAGTTGTTAGACACCTCCCCCATCCCACCCCCAAGGGGTTGCAACCCACAGGTTGAGAACTGGTATACTGGTTCCAAAGGACTGAATGACATTCACACAGTTCTCCCACATTTCCTTTCCTGGAGGGAAAAAAAAAACCCAGATCAGATGCCACTGAGTCAGTACCCACTCCTGGTCTGACTCCCATGTGCAAGGGTTTATTAAGAGCAGAGGGAATCTTGCGTAGTGGCCCTCTACAAGACCATATCTCTGGTAAGATAGGGCAGTTTTGTTTCCCCAAATGAGTTTCACCTTCTATCCTGAAGACCCGTTTGGGAGGTGGCACAAGAGTTATAATTGTGACTCAGGCTGCATATTTGCCCCTGGGGACTGACTTAGACACTGTAAAGGGCTGCTGCCAAGGACAGACGAGAAAGGTTTGATAACCCGAGTTTAAAGAATTTCTCTTGTCCTGAAATTGATGGTTGGAGAATGTTTAAAAAGTTAAGCTAGCATCCAGCCCCAGTGAAGAAGTCTAGAAGTTGTTCTTGGGAATTAGAATAGCTCCATATAGCAGGCTTGAGGTCTTTTAAACCTGGTGCCCTGCACACTGACTGATGTCAGTGGGAGCTTTCATGTCTGTGTACCTAAGTGGCTCCAGTCAGCGGCATGTCCTCCGGTAAATGAGACAGTGCTATATCAGTAGGAGACATGCTTCGGAATTCCATGCTGCAAGTTTCCTCAGGGAGTTAATATTGTTTAGATTCTTCACATTCATAGACATAGGACTTTGGCTTTTTTTGATCACTTGGAAAGAAGTTCTTTATGAAAACACTGAGGTTCCAACCTGGGAGAGGGGCAGTTAGCATTCTGTATCCACAGAAGGTGCCAGGTCATCTTTGGGGAGAACTTGTGGAGAAACCTTCTCCAGTGGTAAATATGGGTTGACATCTGTTCCAAAATTCCTCGTCCTAATCAGAAAACTCTTGTGTGTAGGTAGAAAGTGATCTAGCTTCAGCAGTTACCGAAGATGATGATGACGATGACGACGACGATGACAAAGACGATGAAGATAACTTAGAGGATCAGGTGAGGCTACCTATAAAATCTGATTTCCTTGACCTGGAGGGTGCCAGGGGACATTCAGCTATATTAGCCCAGGCTCCAAGTTCTGGTTTGAATTCAAAACTCTGGTAAAACTTCAGGGATTCTAAAAAGGAAGTCAAGGAAGTATGTCTGAGGCCACAACAGACTGGGGTGATGAGGGGAGAAGACCCTTAACTCTGCCTTGGGAAGTCTGGGCACGCAGGAATAGAGATAACAGAAACCACCTGTCATTTCAGACCCCAGGGCTCTCCAGGAAGCGAGCAAGAGCGTCCCTGTCTGATCTGTCCAGCCTTGAAGATATCGAAGGGATGAGTGTCCGCCAGCTGAAGGAGATTCTGGCACGGAATTTTGTCAACTATTCTGGCTGTTGTGAAAAATGGGAGCTGGTAGAGAAAGTAAACAGATTATACAAAGAGAATGAAGAAAACCAAAAGTCACGTAGGTTGCTTTTTCTCATTTACCCCCATAGCAGACTTCCTAGGCTGTCCAGAGCTGGATTTGGAGACCACCGATTGCAAATGAGTCAGAGACTGAGTCCAGGCAGGTAGTTCTCACCAGGGTTATTTGTTAGAGCCCTACTGCAATGCCTTGTCTCTTGAAACACACTCGCGTCCTCAACCTCTCTGGCAGGCCAGTGCTTTGGTTATTTCAGTGGTAGCCTTTAAAAAGCCCTATAGGTAGTGGGGTGCAGGGACCCCTAGAGCCACAAAGCTGAGTTAAGTCGTTTTTAGCATCAGTCATCTGAGGAGTAGGTTTGTGTGTTACTTAAGAAAAGCTGAGGTCAACAACTTCTATAGTATTCATTGCTGAAACTCTCCCTCAGTTGCTGACAGGGCCAAATCACAGAGCATTTATGGTTTATGGGGGGGAAAAATCATTCAGTGATATTCAAACAAATTTTAACTAGTCCTCTTATCATTAACTGTTAGTACATGAGTAGCATTGTCTTTTTCCTTTCCAATAAAAGCTGGTTGTAATACAGCACTTATCGATAGAGGCTTACCCCCAGAATATGCACAAAGTATCTTAGCACTGCTACTTTTAAAATGATGCCACGCTGATACATAAATCTTAACCCTCAGAACTTTTAGAGTGGGGCAAAGACATAGTATGCTGGCCCAGATGGACAGGTTATTTAAGAAACACAAATGCAGCTAAGCACATTGCAGGGTGGTAATGCTGGCTGGGCTATCCCCCTTCCTGGCCAGGTGACACGTGTCATTTCACAAATGCCTTGCACTGCTTCATTGCATGCTGGCTGGACCCGCGTGCTTGGGTGGGGTATACATTTTGTTCTGAGCACAGCTATAATCTTTATTTGTATGACTTGGGCTCCAAGGTACTCTTGCTCAGATTTACCCAGAGGGCCCCACCTCCCCATCCTGACAGGCTGTGGGCTGTTCTGTTTTATGCTTCTAAATTGTAGCAAGTTAAAAAGGAGCCTTCCCAGGAAAGGGAATCAAGGACCAGGCCTCTGGGCTTCATCTCAAGAGCCATCTATGCCCTCTCATTGGCCCTGTCCTAGGAACTCCTCCATACCCAGAGGGGAGCCAAGATCCTAGAAGACAAAGCCAGTCTTCCCCCGTCTCTGGGAACTAGAGACCTGCAGTCCACTTGTTCTAACCAGATTCATGATTCTCAGTGGTCTTTGGTCCCTAGAAAAGGCAGCCTCAGTATAAATAACACTTTTGCCAATTCAGACGGAAGTTAACTCTGTGAATCATTCATCCCACCTTACTCAGAGCCAAGGCAATTGCCCCCATTCCAGCCACCCGCCTTTAATCCTCCCTAAATCCCGAGTGTGGAAATTAAGTGCTTCCTCCTGAGGAGGCTTAGGGGTAGAGTGTCTCATGGACCTCTCAGTAGTGTTCTGAGTCCACATTCCATGTGTGGCTAGCCATTGCTCTCATCCTTTTTTCTTAAGAGCCTTAGACAAACCATGCTCATTTTTGTAAGACGTAGAGCCTTATCAGAAACCTTTGCTTACAGAAAGATGAAATAGCCAGCATTTCCCCTTTCTCTTGGGCACAAACCCCGAGGTTTCAGCATTAATATCATTGCCCTTTCTAGGCAAGGGGACTGAGAGCCAAGAAGTTGGGCGCCTGGGTCCTTTAGGACCAGTTATTGTTAAGGGGAAAAGTTAGTCTTGGAAACTCACAGGGGCAGTTCTGCCCTGTCCTATAGAATAAAGTTGGCATCGACTTGATGGCATTGAGGTTGAGTTTGTCACTAGCATGGGCAGGCTCAGCCCCAGGTCTCTGTTGTCTTCCAGATGGCGAGCGGGTGCAACTGCAGGACGAGGAGGACAGCCTGTGCCGCATCTGCATGGACGCCGTCATCGACTGCGTTCTGCTTGAGTGCGGGCACATGGTCACCTGTACCAAGTGTGGCAAGCGCATGAATGAGTGCCCCATCTGTCGGCAGTACGTAGTACGCGCCGTGCACGTGTTCAAGTCCTGAGGCCCAGGAGGGTACCCAGATACTCCCGTACACAAGAAAGGACTGAAGGCCTACTGTTCAGAAGCTGAAGCAAGTTTAGACGTTATTTCTACTAGTTTGTACGGACGAGGTTTCTCATAAGTTGTGGAGATGCATTGGTCCACGGCCTAAGCCCATCTGTTGGTGAACAAGCTGAGTTGCCTGGGGTCTGTAGCGTGGAGGATAGGCCATCTCCAACCTGTCAGTATCAGCTCCTGCCCTCTAGAGGGTGCCCCTCTTATTTCCTGTTACATCCTGTTTATAACTTAAATGACTCAGACGCTTGAATCTTCAGTTTCCAGAGTGGCCTCCGTTGTGTGTGATGAGCAGCGGTCCCTGTGAATGTCCACCTCACTGCTCGTGTATATTGTAAATGCTAATACATGATGAATGTAAGTTTCCATTGTTGCTATTCCTGCATTTAATCATAATTGGGTACAAATGACATTCTATAGACAACTGCCAGGGACTTAGAGTGAACAGGTCAATTTCTGTTCAGGTTCAGCTTTTGTAGCAAGGGCTGCATCTAGCTTTCATTAGATAAGAGTGTGTGTGTGTGTGTGTGTGTGTGTGTGTGTGTGTGTGCGCTCTCGCGCGCGCGCGCAATTCTTTACCATTTACACAGTTTTGTATAGTGAGTGTATTTTCAGTGCTACCCGCTAATTAATTTCAGTTTAGGAATAAAATTTGACTTTGAAAGACTTGTGCGTTTGTGGACACTTGGTCAGTTGCTGATTCCCTCGGATCTGACAGTAGAAGCCTGTGCCCTGGGCTCCTATGCTGTCACCTTCAGGTGCTCCAGGGGGCTCTTTTTGAGCTACCGAATCTATAAGGAAAGCTGTGGAGCCACCTCCCTCTGTGCCCCCAGCTATATTTCTCTCTCAGCAGTTCTCGAAACTGGATTACCTCACTTTAAAGGTAGGGAAAAGTGGCCGCATCAGTCAGAATTTCAACCTAACCTCAGCCCTCATACCCCCACCCCCACCCCCACCAAAAAAAAGCACATAGCAAACGAGAATCTTGAGACACTGGCTTATATGAGACCAGCCAATGGATGTGGCCCCATCAGTGGTCAGTATACTCTGAAATATGGCTGAACTGCTCAGCCGAGATCAGGGTTTTATCTGCTGACTGCAGTGGGTCCACCCACATACCTTCCCCTGGGTGCTCAGGGACCTACCACAGACCAGCAGGTCTGCCCTAAAGGCTCAAGTACTGTGAACTGAAGGCTTGCCACCCCCATCCCCAGCATGTGTGCTCACAGAGCTCAGGGCTGTAAGCAGCCTGAGGCCATGGCTTTTCAACCACAGCCAGATGGCCGCTTAGCTTGTCTGTACCTTCTCTGAGACAAAAACTGAAATGCAATGCTCCCCATAACAGCTAATTTGGTGGTAGAAAGTCTTTAAATTTAGGCCAGCAAGTGAAAGTAAATACACTTAAATAGAAGCTAAGCAGCAGGTGCTAGTTTGTCCAAAAATAAGTCAGAAACGTCAGCCCTATTGGTACAGGTTTCAGCTGGCAAGCACTGTGAAATGTGTCCTCTTGGATTTACATCCAGTCTCAGTTGCATGTTGTCACCGAAGTCACCAAGGCTCTCCATGGGGCACGTCTTGAGTGGCGTCATAAAGTAACATTTTAGTGGCCCAAGTAACTTGTTTGCAGAGGCAGCCACACCTCCTGGGTTTGCATGCTAGCTGCGACCAGGCACATGGATTAGAAAAGCTCAGGGTCCCTGAGGGAGATCGTTGGGGGGCAGTGCCCCTTCCCTGGAGGGCACAGTCTGCCACCCAGGGGCAATGACTGGTTCCTTTCTTCTTACTCCCTGGACTCAGAAATGGCAAGCGACATTAGCACTCCTAAGGTGCTCACACTGCCTCTCAGAGCAGAGCAGCTGTGGCTTATGTTAAGCAGTCCTCACTAGATCCAAAGGGAGGCCTCATTTCATGGGGTTGGGCGCTGCATCCTCTGATCTGACTAGAGGAGGCTGTGTCCGGTTCTGTTAGTGCCCGTATGTTAGCTTTCATCCCTACTGACCCCTTTTAGCCTGTCTGAGCAGACCCCAGTGCTCCAGGAAGCATTACAGAAGGAGAGTGCCTTTAGCCCCGAGCCCTGTGCCCTTCACCATCTGCTCCTAACGATTGCCCAGGAAGATCTTTCAACAGAAAGCCACTGTCACCCTTAAACCACGTTATCAACGAAGGCAGTAACTGCTCTGGACAGCAGAATGACTTAGTCTCTGAAGAGTCAAATTACACAGCTGCCAAGAAAAAAGGAACTACCTCTTGGGGATGTTCCACATGGAGTGATCAGCCTTGCAGAAGTAAGTCACGTTTTTATAAATGAGCCAGAAGTGTGAACTAAACAGTTGTCACATTGGGACTGCCAATGCAACCTTGAGGGCTACAGCAACAGAAAAGGAGAGAGAGGCAAATAGAAACTGTAGTTGAGCACAGGGCCAAGGTTTTTACCTGGCTATTGATTAAGGAGGAAGGAAGGAAGCTGCTTATCTTTTTCATCTTTAACATGCTTACAGTGTTTCCTCAGAGTCAAGTGCCTGGAGAGCCTGAGGAAATGACCCCTCCCTCCAGCAGGGTCTTCTTAGGCTGTGGTGGCACAACCTGGCAAGGAGTTTTGTACAGGTGGGAGAAACCCTGCCCTTCAGGGTGCCAAGGCCTCGACCCTACTCAGGCACCAGCAAAGCACAGTTCCTTCCATTGCCTTTATTAGCCACAAACAGTAAGGGACAAGGAAAACACATGTTCCAGGGGGCTGCTGTGTGTTCTCGCGTGAGGGAGAAGGTAAGTGGAGACCTGGATCTAAGCAGGGTTTTCCAGGGTTGAGAGCCTGCTGACTCGGGCTCTCAACTTAAACATCTAGTCCACTCCTAGAACAGAAACCCTCTTAAGTCCAAGGGTGGTTTTTTTGTACAATTGTTTATACAAAGTCAACAAAAGTAAAATGGCCTCAGGGGAGGTCTGGGACAACATCACCTTAGACAGTGGCACTTTTGAATGCATAATGTGACAATGAGGAAAGGGCCAAGTGAGAAATCTCAGCTGAGAACTCACTCGCACGGCAGAGGCGAGAACACAGAAGAAAGGCCCCGCTGGGTTGGTGAGTCTATTATCTCGACTGCATGAATTTCACCCAGTCCAAGAGCTCAGGCCCAGGGAAAGAAAATGTTTTGATAATGATGATGGCAACAAATGTACAAATGTGCTTGACACAATGGATATGTGCATGGATTGTGATAAGAGTTGTAAGAGCCGCCAATAAAATTATTTTAAACAAAAAGAAAGAAAATTCACTCCATTACTTCTACATTCTCTGTGAAAGTTTTATTAGATGTATATTTGACTTCCTAAATTTAATTTTTAATATCCTTCCATTTTTGCTTTTCTTTTGCTTATCTTTATGTTCAACTCTGTGGGAGATTCTAACCCATTGATTTGAGGCTTTGCTCTTGTTTCTAATGCGTTATTGGATTTGAAATTTGGATGTTTTTCTTCTTTGTTCCTTTTTTTTCAAAAAAGCTTCTTGTTCTTTGTTATTTCTCTGATAATATTAAATGCAGTTCTGAAAGTATTTTCTTCTGTAAGCATCTTTCTAAACAAAACAAAGTCTTTCCATTCCATTTTCTCCTTATACAATACTACCCCCACTACTCTGCTTCTCTGTTTGGCTTTCCAATTTTTCTCCTCCCATTCTCTTTTATCATAGGGCTTTCCGCCTTTACCCTGTAGCTCTGAAACGATCACAGTCTCCATGTTTCTTAATTCAAGAATGAGTACTTATGTCTCATGCTACATTACTTATATCCTAGAAGTACTGCGTACTTTCCTCCTCCTTGTGAGACAGAGGAGGGCAGAGACTAAATTTCCTTATCTCTACATTCTGGGCTAAACAGACCCTGACAGAAAATACCCCAAGTCAGCAAGTTAACCCTTACCCCGCCCCCATCTTATTATGACTTAAGCCTGAAACATTTCAAGCTGTGTTTTTCTATAACATAGCTAGTGTTCCAGTTCATTTTGTCCAACCCCAGGATGAACATGTGTAGTCAGATACCCGGGACTGGAGACCACAGAGAGCATCTAGGAAGAGAAGATGGCTACACAATGCTTACCCCTTCTCAGAATTCCCCACCTCCTTTTATGCCACCCAAACTCCTTTAAACAATTTCTTGTTTGGTTTTTCACAGAGATGTGGACGCCTTTGCCTTGAAGGTCCTTCACGTCTCCCCCTTGCAAGACATTATTTCCTTTAACAAACTTCGTTGCTTCCATATCTACCCTTGCAAAGTATTCTTTCTTTTAATAGATTTCTTTGCTTCTTTGACACACCTGGTACCCTGCTTTGTTATTATTTTTGGGTGGGAAAAGAACCTTTAATAGGAAAGACAGTCTGGTAAGCACCTTTTTCACTGGGTTTCCAGAACACTGGTCCCTCTGTGTTTTTTCTTCACCATTCCTTTCCACTTTTCTTGGTCCTTTGATTCGCATCTCCTCCGCTTCCTAACGTTGGAGGCCTTGTACCATGTCTCTTCTGAATCTTTCCTTCCTTCCTTGGCGCTCTCATCATGTTTTAGGACGTTAACTACCATCCTCTATGACATTGACTTAAAAAATGCCTTGTCCATATTTCCCCTGAAATATGAGTGCCTAGTTCCATCTGTCTTCTTGATATTTTCACTTCGAATGAGGAATTATTATTTCAAGTGACTATGTCTAAAGGAGAAACCTTGATCTCCTTCACGTCAACCACCCCTCTTTTTGTCCCCTGGATCAGCTTACTGGCTTGCTCCTCCTTTTTCTTTCACAGGCCCCTCGCTGTGAGGTCATCTTTGACGCCTCTCTTTCTCTCACAACTCATGTGCCACCTCGGGAATCTAACCATTCTTCTTCCCTCTGTCATTAGCACCCTGTTCTGAGTCATCATCATCATCATTTCTTTTTTTAAAGTTTTACTGCCACTTCTTCCACATATCATACAATTCAATATTCCAGTCATATCAAGAACAGTTGTACAATCATTACCACCTGAATTATAGAATATTTTCTCCTTCTGTGTACTCATTGTAATTGGTGTAATTATTATTTTTTAATTGTGGCAAAAATATACACAACAAAACATCCTCCAATTCAACAACAAAACATTCTCCAATTCAACAACTTCAATAATTCAGTGCCATTGATTATGCTCTCCGTGTTGTACAGCCATTATTGATATCTTTTTTCAAATGATTCCAACACCATTAACATAAACTCAATGCCCCCTAAACAAAAACTCTTCCTACTTCACCCATAGTACCCATCCGTCAAGTTTGGTTTCTTTCTTTCTTTCCCCAGTAGTTCTCTTGATGTAAATTTCACATGTCATGCACGTCCATAGTTAAGTTGGTTTTAAAAAGAGTTGTATATACATCACCACAATCAGTTCTAGTGCTCCCTCTCCCTACCCACATTCATTATTTGCTCTCAAATTCCCTTTAACCTTTCCACCCCGTCACCCGCACTCCCCATAAACCACTACATCAGTTATTGTCTCTATGTATCTGTTCCTAACTTTTGTGCTTCATAAACTTGGAAACCTAAAAGAAACCATTAAAAACAAAAAGCAAAACAGAAAGGAAAAAAAATAATATAAAGATAAAACTGAAGAGTAAGAAAGAAGAGACCACCAACAATATATAAAGAGCCAT